CAGAAATTTATTGCTGATAATAATTTTTACGCAGCATTTCTGGTATTAAAACCTATTTTTACACTTTCATAGTGTTTTTACCCCCGTTAGCTGGGATCCTAACAGGTGCTACTATCCGCTGGGTCAGGGTGAACCTGGGAACACCTGCAATTAAGAGGTGGTTCCACGCTCCTCAAAACCTCATGGTCAGAGGCCTTGCCGTTGGACATAGTTTATCATCTTACCCAAAGACGCGGATGTAGTTTATCGTCATACCCAGACGGCAATGAATATAGAAAGCGCCAATTTATTTGAAACATTTCCTTTATATAGCATGAATCTCTTAATTGCATTTTCTTTGTATAAACGCATTTTCATTTTTTTTTTACACTGAATGATTCTAAAAATTGCCAATTTATTTGGAAAACTTCTTCCATTTAGCATGAACTTACTTTGCAATGTTTTCTTTGTATAAGACGCATCTGCGTAAACTTTTACGCTGAGTGAATATAGGAAGCGCTAATTTATTTGAAGCATTTCCTTTATATAGCACGACTCTCTTAATAGCATTTTCTTTGTATAAATGCATTCTCGAATGAATGTAGAAATTACCAATTTATAAAATAAATATTATTCGTTTTAGCATGCACTTCTAATTATGGTTTTCTTTATATAAAACGCATTTTCAGAAAGATTCTTTACGAGTGAAAGCAGAAAGCGCCAATTTATTTGTAACATTTCTTGTATATAGCATGAAAATTTGATAGAATCTGTTTTATATAAAAACGCATTATCATATTTTTTAAAATGCTGTGTGAATGAAAAATTCACCATTTTATTTAAAGCATTTATTTAGCCCCAATCTTTTGCCATGTCGTCTCGACAAATTGTGATTAGAATACCATTTGTAGTGATTGTTATTCTGTTAGAACCATTAGTGAAATTTTTCCTCTTTAAATAATCCATTGAAATTCTAGACTTGTTTTTTCAAGCAAATATCTAAAACATTTATGGTTTTACAAAATGCATAAGATTGGCAGTTTAATGTTAATTAATTTCGGATTTAGTGGAAAATATCACAGTTTTAAGATTAGGATCAGATCAGAGGTGAACTAAGCATGAGACGAACAAGATTTTGTAAATTACGTTTCATTTTTCAAGTAACCATTATACCAAACACATTTTCTAATAACCAAATAACAAATTTAAATGATACTGGAATGAGAAGAAACTCAAATTTGTTCGGAGTTCAAAGAAGAAACACAAATCTGACAAGAACCGACTCCGAAGAGGATGTTTTCCTGATCACTACAATCTCAACCTGTTCGAGTCTAAGGTTAATCATAATCTTCCCTACATATCCGTATAAACTGTGCCTCTACCTTGAGTGGCTCCCAGGACTTGAACAGAGTGAATGTCACTGTAGAATGAAAAACTAGGAAACAAATTCAGATTCAACGGGGTACTACGAATAACTGAAATTTGATAGGATCAGGAATCAAAATCAAATTTGACAATGTCCAGAGGCTACGACAGGATCTTAAGAATAAATTCAACTATGAACGGCAGAAGGGAGCAGACTCAAATTTGATAGTGTTTTTATAAAATAAAATAAGACATATCTCGGCTGATTTTCAAGGCAAATAAACTAACATACTCAAGAGCGAGAGCCGGATGTGAACGGGACAAGGTTTCGTCACAAAATGACCATTATCGTCATTTACGCATATGCCCGACGCACGAGTTCCGGTCGAAAAATAAAATAATATTCTAAAGTGTTTCTATTTTTCGACCAATAAAAATGCTTCCCTCCTAATTATACTCGCGTCGTTTTACGAGCCTGTTAAGCCATAAAAAACGCCACAAAAAGGGTTCACACGGGGAAGTACAACAGCAGTCAACAGAAGGCCAGGGAAGAGATCTGTCACGGGCAGTCAGCAGCAGTCAGCAGCAGTTGCGCCACGCCAACCAGCGAGAACTACTATGAGAGATCAACCCAGGTCGGCAGCCGGCTTATGAACTATAACACAAGGTAGCTGTCCCAAAACCCCACGTATTGAAATAAATCACGTAAATCTATTTCTGCTGTTGTCGTATTTGTTTCTTGCAACCATTTGGTAGGGCAACATTTGATCCAGAAAACAAACACAAATTTGACATTGTCTAAAACAATAAAGAATTAAAAAAAAGTAGCTTAACCTTGACAGTGTTCAGAGAAAAATCTTTAAAAATTCAGACAATTTGGAAACAGAACAATTTACGGTGTTAGTAGAACTGATCCATACACCAAAGTATTTGAAGTGTTTAGTATTTACTAATTTCACATCTTGAATTTTTATAATGGATTAGCTGGCTTCGCCGGCTCGCTATCGCTACGCAAAATAAGATATATTCACTACTTGAAATCTTTGAAACAAGAATTTTAAATGAACATTTCATTCATAAATTGGCTTTTTATAGTTAAGGAAAGTTTTACAAATAGATGCCAACTTGTTGAAGGCCAAGTAAAATGCAAATTTCAGATAATTTTCTGCACTATTTAAGTCAATATTCCTAAACAGAACTATTTTTGATATCAAAATGAAAACAATCCTTGAATAAAAGAAAACAATGAAGGACAGTATACTATTTTAGAATCAATATGCAAATTTGTTAAACCTGAAGAGTGATATCGCCTAGAAGTAGATAATATATATCACAGATATTGAGCTTTTAGCGAATAAATTACTATAAAGTAGAGTTGAAACTTTTTAATCACAGAATTCGTTAGATAATTGTGCTCCAATTTTGCATTTATTAATATTATTTTGTCATGCACGCAGCAGAATCATACCTGAAAATTTCAAGAACATTACAGGTTCATTATAGACACTGGAATAAGTAATGCAATATTCATATTCAGAATGATATCAGAAAGACGATATACAAATGCAGAAGAAAGTGTACCTGTATTTTTATAGATTATGCAAAAATGTTTGATAAAGTAAATCACAAAGAACTGTTGGGACTACTGGGTAACCATAACATATTTCGGATGGATATTAGAATAATCCAGAACCTGCCTGCATACAGATAGAATATAAGTTCAGTAAATATACAAAAATAAAAAGTTGTGTAAGACAAGGATGTGTCATCTCACTGGACTTATTCAATCTGTTCAGTGAGGAGATTTTGAGAGAATTAGAAGAGCTACCAGGATTCATTACTGGCGGCCATATTCTTAACAACATAAGATATGCAGATGACACAGTGTTGATGGCAGACACCGAAAGGAAACGACAATAACTCCTGTAGAAAGTAATGAAGGAAATCGGAAAAGAAATGACTAAACATCAATTCCAAGAAGATAGAATGTATGGTTAGCAACAAATCTAACAGCGCAACATAAAAATTACAAATTAGAAATGCGAAAATCAAGTCTGTAAAACAATCTAAATATCTGGGAAGAGTTCTAACGTAGGAAGTACGACAGCGAAATCCGAAGGTGCATTGGGATAACAAAAGATGGAAACAAAAAGGACACTTATAATTAATATCAGTAAGAGTGTTAGCATTTCTAGGTCACATATTGAAGAAAGAGGGTTTGGAAACTTTGACACGCATAAGGATATAGAGATATACAAACTATACAGTGAGTTAATTATGAGAGAATTAGAGGTAAGGATTCATCAAAATATATGCAGCTGTAAGGTTAACAGACTAAGAAAGGAAAGTACTTCTACAGAAGGTAGTGAAAAAAAGCGAGAAGAAAGGATTAAACATCAATTGCAGAAAGACAGAATGCATGTTTGTTAGCAAAGGATGAGACCAAAATGCAAATTACAAATCGGAGATGTCAAAATCAAGCAAGTGCAAAAATCTAAATAAGTCTTTAAACAGAGGACAGAAAGTATGACAATGAAATCCGAAGGCGTATTTGGATAGTCAAGAATGCATTCTAAAAATTAAGCAGAGTATTTGGAAAAAGAAAAAGTTCGTTAGAAAGAAAGAAAACAGTACTGAACTGTCACGTGTTATCTGTCCTCCTATATGTCAGTGAATGTTGGGCAATCTCCTCAAAGATGAAAGAGAGACTTAAAGCAACAGAAATATGGTTCTACAGAAGGATGCTGAGAATACCATGGACCGAATATGTGAGCAACGACGAAGTTTAAGAGAAAATGGAAACAGAAAGGAAACATTTACTTAACATCATAAAGAGACAGTTGAAATTTCTAGGACCCATAATGAGAAAAGAGTGCTTGGAAAATCTGATACTCATAGTTCAGATTGAAGGCAAGAGGGGGAGAGGAAAACCGCGCATAGCGAGTAATTGGATAACGGAACAGGGTTAGGAGACATACCAAAAAGACAAAATCTATCAAGAGCTACAAAGGACAGGAAATTGTGGAGAACCATGATCTCCTACTTCCTGGGGGGGGGGACATAGCACATAAAGAAAAATCTCTCCTTTCTTCCCATACTTATCCTCTACTTAGTTCATATACGTAAATGTTGAAAACGAACAGGCGCGACTGATTATAGTGCATCACTTACCTATTCCGGTGTATGTCTATAAAGATGACGGTGGGCCGAGACTAAATTGTCAATGGCTTATCCGGAAGGAGTGTTCACCATTTGCTCTGAAAAACAGGAAATTACTTCCATATTTCGGACGCTCAGATAGTGTGGGAGGATTGCTCTCTTTATTGTCATTTTCTTTCTGTTTTCTTTTTCTTTTTTTAAAAAAATGTTCTTCGTTGAGATGTCTACCGAGCCACCCCCACTGTAAGTACTTCTAAAAGTGTATTTCCGCTTGAAATTTTATCTGTTTGGATATTTCTTTCTCCCACTTGTTTTATATTTCGCGCTTTCTGTTACACAACATTTTTCCCATGCAGCTGTGAAAAAAAAAAAAAAATTCTTGCATCCATTGTGTCAATACACGTAATGATTTTTCCCATTATTTATTCAGTTTAATTAACCGTTACATTTTTACTGCATTGGCATGACAAATATTTCGCGAGAGGTTCCTTTCGTTCTCACAACGTAGCCGTGAGAGAATCGAACGCAATTACACGATAGAAAACCTGCGAAGTCTGAAGATATATACTGGGAAGTTGGGAAGTTTCTGACAACCATACCACCGGTTGACCCAGGCCTTGGTAGTGAACTTCCGATAATTGTGCTAGCATGAGGTCACAAGTCATTATGACTGAGGTTCAGAAACGTACTGGACTAGTTCAAACTGTTTGATCTCGCCAATTTATGCGTTAATTCCGAGAAGCTGCTACGGCTTCTGTGAAAGATTCGCTCAGCATAGTTGGAGCATAAACCTCAAGTTGGCTTTTACGATTTTGAACAAACACAAATGTGCCTGTGCTGACGTCTGCAATGGGGATTGGATAGCCGCTCTAGCAGACGAGGGTTCTCGGAAACGAGTAACAGGCCAAAAAACCTTTCCCCCACTCTTTCTCACATGAAACATGTTGGCTACACTTATATATTTACATACTTTCTATTCTTGATACTGAATACTTTAACGCATAAACATAGCATATCTTAAAACTATATTTTATCATATATATATATATATATATATATATATATATATATATTAAAATATTTTTATTATAATAGATTACAATAAATCAATTTACATCGCTACATAAAAACTTTCATGTTTCGGAACTTTAATCGTTTCTTGTCGGATGATGGTAGATTACATATGATACAAATGATCTATTTGGGAAATTTGAAAAAAAATCGTCACCACTTTTGAAAGTTAAAAAAGCGGTAACGATTTGTTTTCAAATTTCCAAAATAAATCATTTTTATTATATGTTATCTACCATCGTCCGACAAGGAACGATTAAATTTCCGAAACATGGAAGTTTTTGTGTAGCGATGTAAAATGTTTTTATTGCAATCTACTATAATAAAAATATTTTAATAATATTATATTTTGCTCTACGTCTGTATTGAGCACTTTTAAAAATTAAATGCTAAGAACTGTGGATTCTAACTCCATCTATTCTTTCTTTCTTTATATTTTATATATATATATATATATATATATATATATATATATATATTTTCTATTAAGTTTTTCTAATGTTCTTAAAATTTTTCCTCGGTGCGGGAGGATAAGCGAATGATAACACCATAATTCTAAAACTCTAATTGTAGACGATGGCTTGAGTTAATTGAATCTCTTTATATAAAACAATTTAAGCTAAGCCTAAACCTTACAAATTTTAACAATGGGAGTAACATGTTTGTCGGTCCTTTAAAGGACATGCCAACAAGGAATCCCAGCTACATTTCTTCTAGCACAGCTTAGAATTTCTACTGCAGCGGCACAATACAATATAGAACACAAACTTAGTAACCATATCAACAGCAAGCATCTTGAAACGCCTAGGAAAACACGTAGTCCTGTAGATTACTATTTTAAGTCACTAATTTTTTGTAAGCGAAGTGCACGATATTAACAGTATAAATTAGCAATCATACTTATTATAAAACCCAGGTTGTGTGTGTGTGTGTGTGTGTCTGTACGTTTATATATTGGATCGGATTTCCTACATTTTTCAACCGATTTCAACAAAACTTCACAGGACTATGTAAAATTACCTTGCGGTGGTTCTGACAGCGCCAAAAATTTGAAAAACAATTGTTTTTGCATGAAATCAATTTGAAAACACGATTAAGAGCCATCACAAGAATGAAAGTGAGACAACTCATATCTAGTTATACTTATAAAACCCAGGTTGTGTGTGTGTGTTCCTTTATATATGGGATCGGATTTCCTACATTTTTCAACCGATTTCAACAAAACTTCACTTTTTTTTGGCAGGTAGTGTTTCTTATTGTTTTGCACACTTTTTTCTTTACTTTTACATTCAAAATGCTTTAAAAATTCCATTTACAAGACAATTGTTTATAATAAAATTCTATTCAATCGGTAGACTCATAACGATTGAAAACAATGTTTTTGTTTGAGTTTGACCAATTCGCAAAAAAAAAAAAAAAAAAACACTGCGTGTCCGTCAGCCTTAAACAATAATCTTTATCAATTTTATTTTTCAGTCTTTATGATGGTCGGTACTTGATCTATCTTTTACTGTTACATCCCCAGGCAACGCCGGGCTCTACTGCTAGTAGTTAATAGATAAAGAAAAGTTCAAAAGACTTGCTTAGCAGATTTCAAGTTTCGCAGAAACACCACTCGTCAATGTTAGATAAATTTATTCAATTTAACGTATTTATTCTGTTTAATACAGAAATGTGGCACAAGGCCGAAAAGGGGATTGGGGAAAGGACGGTCTTCTTCTGTCTTAACTATAACTTAGCTAGCCGCAAACACTGACCCAATCTTACGAAACAACACATTCATTCGTACCTTTCTTACTACAACCACCGTAATACCTCTTTGTCTCTATGAAAATACTAACTAGTCCCCATATTTACCACAGAGGAAAGTTCATCAACACAATTACCATGAAATTATTTATAGAAAATGGAAGATACATTATGGCGGTGGAAAAGTGACTGTAGCCGAAATGCCAGGTCAAGACCAATAACATTGCAGGTTCTTCTGTGGATTATTAACAAGTATCTCTAAATGTATAGCAGGGGTTCCAGATCATATGTGGTAGAAATACTCAGGGCATAGACGGATGGTAGGCTTCTAAATATATAAAATCTTTTCTGGAGAGAATAATTGCTTTGCATGACAGGGCGAACTAAATTTCTTAGTAGCAGGGTTAACAATTGACTTTTTATAAATCTTTGTACTTCATATCAGCGGAAAAATGTTAATACTTTACTTCTTTTTTATGTGCTGTGTCCCCTGAGGAGGTAGGCGATCATGGACCCCCACAACTTTCAGTACCTTACAGCTCTTAATAAACTTTGCCTTTCTGTTTTTTCTCCTAATTCCTATTTCGCCATCCATTTACTCAAGCTCATTAAACATCTCTGTGCAAAAAAAAAAAAAAAAAAAAAAAAAAAAAAAAACGTTATAGCGAAACAAAACTTAAACAAATTTTTCGATTTTCATATTTTTTTATTTTTTTATCCCCAATAAAAATTATATTTTGACTCAGAATATGTTACGAAGGATTTTATAGTAAAAAAAAATATTTGAATATTTAAACCATTGTAATATTTGAAAATTGCCGATTATTTATTTATTGTTATTTCTTCAAGTTTATTTTATTTTATTTATTTCTTTATTTATGCTTCCTCTTATATCCCTTCAGGACGATGGCAACAATCGCTTTCCACAATTTCCTGTCCTTCGCAGCTCTTAATAAAAACTCTCGTTTTTGTTGTCTGTCCTAAATCCTGTTCTGTCATCTATTTAATAAAACTCGCTAGATAGATCATGCGTTTTCCCCTGTCCTGCTTGCCTTTAAGTTGTCCTGTGAAGATCAAATTTTCCAGCCCCCTTTCCTTATTATGTGTCATATAAATATCAGTTGTCTCTTTCTGATGTTAAGTATAAGTGTGTTTTTGTTTCCATTCCCCCTAAAACCTCTTTGTTGCTCCCAGGTTCGGTCCAAGGTATATTATCAGTATCCTTCTGTAGAACCACATTTCTGTTGCCTCATTTCTCTTCTTCATATGTGAAGAGATTGTCCCGCATTAACAGTCAGAGACGAGGACCTCTTTTCTTTTCTCTAATGAAAAGATTCTGTTTCTTAATACTATGCCGAGCTTTTTGGAATAACCACATTAAATGACTCAAAATTCATTCTTAACTGAAACGTGTGGTTAGGGTCATACATTCGTTATTACAATATTTTTTTCCAAAACGCAAATTGCTTATGACTCACTGTAATAGATAGATAGATAGATAGACAGACAGACAGGCAGTCATGAACATAGATAGATAGATAGATAGATAGATAGATAGATAGATAGATAGAATAGACATAGATAGATATGAAAACTGAGATAGATAGATAGATAGATAGATAGATCGATAGATAGATAGACATAAAATCATACATACAGAGATCGACAGATATGAACAGACAGAGATAGATATGAACAGATGAGATAGATAGATAGATATAAACAGTCATAGATACAGAGATCGACAGATATGAACAGACAGAGATAGATATGAACAGACTGAGATAGATAGATAGATATAAACAGTCATAGATACAGAGATCGACAGATATGAACAGACAGAGATAGATATGAACAGACTGAGATAGATAGATAGATAGATAGATAGATAGATAGATAGATAGATAGAATAAACAGTCATAGATAGAGAAATCGACAGATATGAACAGACAGAGATAAATATGAACAGACTGAGATAGATAGATAGATAGATAGATAGATAGATAGATATGAACAGACTGAGATAGATAGATAGATAGATAGATAGATAGATAGATAGATAGATAGATAGATAGACATAAACAGTCATAGATACAGAGATCGACAGATATGAACAGACAGAGATAGATATGAACAGACTGAGATAGATAAATAGATAGATAGATATGAACAGATAGATAGATAGATAGATAGATAGATAGATAGATAGATAGATAGATAGATAGAATAAACAGTCATAGATAGAGAAATCGACAGATATGAACAGACAGAGATAAATATGAACAGACTGAGATAGATAGATAGATAGATAGATAGATAGATAGATATGAACAGACTGAGATAGATAGATAGATAGATAGATAGACAGACAGACAGACAGACATGAACATAGATAGATAGACTCTTAATTATTTTTCCTCTTATTGTTTCATTTTTCAACAGGAATAGACAAGTTCGCTTGTCACCCAGTTAACACTCCTTCATCGTCTTTTGAACAGGAGTAGAAGTTTATCCCTTGTTTCTTGTTTAGAATTGTGTTTCCGGTTCTTTCTAAAGTCTTTTTATTCTCTTTCACTCCCAAGAACCCCTTGCTTCTTAGCGGCATTATCGCCTTACTTGGAGCGAAATGATTGAAAAAAAAAATAGATATGAAAAAATTGGGATAGATAAATATATAGTTTTACATAGAAATAGAAAATTGTAACAGAATTTCTGACTGGCGATGATAATTTTCTTTCTGTTTCCCAACAGGATTCCTTCTACTCGAGAACCACTTCACTGCTCTAAACATAAGTTGTTTCACATGTAATGGATTTTGGTAGAAGGATAAGTTAAGCACTGTATATCACAAAAGAAATGGTATTCTTTTAATTCAAAAAATACGTATCATTAACATCAATTGCTTTTTTGCAAACGTGATATGAAACTAAATAGTATTTTCTTCGAACGAATTCAATATATGTGTGGTGTGTCAGAATATAAAAGATTAAATATGAAAATAAAATATTTGCGTGGAAAAACTACAGAGGGTCTTAGTAATATTTATCAGAAACTTCGGAACACTTCGAAAGAAAGGAACAGAATCAAAGATATAAATAAATAATATATTTTTGTTTAATTAACTTCGACTGGGCGAGCCCTTTTTAAATCTGGCTGGTGTTTGTTTTTAGTTTACGAATCAGGCTTTGTTAGCAATCAGTTGACGGTTGGCGGTTGTGTGGTTAATTTGGAAATATATTGCGACGCCATCTGTTGAGTATCATAGGCCACCAAAATGGGCGCAAAAAATGTCTTAAGCAGATTAAAGCCTAGTTTCTTCACACGACACACTCGAGCCGGTTTCTGATCGTCTCCTCTACCTACAGCTTTCTGTTAGCTGACTCTTTATATACAATTTTTCTCCGGACCCTATCAAATTTAATTTTCATGAATCTCGTCAGATATTAATTTGTTCTCCTGTCCCTATCATATTTCTTTTTTTTCTAGAGACCCTCATATTTCATTTTTTTTCCCTTGGCGCTATCGAATCTTAGTTTAGTATTTAGTACAATGTTAAATCTGTGTTTGTTCTCTTGGACCTTTCAAATCACTGTTATTTTTCTTGTCCCTTTCAATTTTCTGTTTGTTCCCGTGGGCCTGTCAAAATTCGTATTAAATTTTACTTTGAACTCTGCCAGATTTTAGTTTGTTGTTCTTTGGACCAAGTCATATAAGAGGGTTTTTTTTTGTTTTGTTTTGTTTTTTCTCCAGATTATGCATTTGGGTGAAAATGAAAACGACGCTTTCGATTGAAATTTGAATTTAACCGATACCCAGAAAGCTAGATTCCTCATTATCTGTACATTCATGCGATTTCCCTTCGCCAAGATGACTAGAATAAAGTCGAATATTAACAGTTAAAAACAGCATACAATACAACTCAATCTATTTAAATCCGTCTTTGTATTAACAAATGACGAATTCGACACTTTATTTGCTAAAGAATAAACAAATTTACATCAACAGATGATACAATGCAATAAACCGCTTAAAATATTTCTGATAACACTATATCCTGAAACCAAGGGATACATTCTAATGCTTGGACTTTGAATATCTGAGAAGAAACACTCTACAAAAACAAAGTCATGCGTTTAAAAAGAATTTCACATCCATCGATCTTTTATTCCCACCGATGGTCTATTTATTTTTAACCGGCTCCTGAAATCCGCTTTCCGCCATTGTGGTTAACCTCAAGAATCTCAGGTTTGATTAATCTTATCCGTTATTTCAGATGGACGTCTTGAACAACTATAAGAAAAATATCTCATTTTAAGATTTCATTAAATAGAATGGCCGACAAGCTCAATGAATAAACTGGGAATAAACTAAGAATTTTTTTCAAATATCAAAGCAAACTTGTATTCATTTATTTTAAAACCAGGGGTATTCTTCAGCGCCCTCCCCCCTCGAAGGAGACTACTACAGTTTAAGGTTGACGGACATGCATGTCTTAATTAGTTTTTTTTTTTTTTACGAATTGGTCAAACCCAAACTCAAACAAAAACATTGTTTTCAATCGTTATGAGTCTATCGATTGAATAGAATTTTATTATAAACAATTGTCTTGTAAATGGAATTTTTAAAGCATTCTGAATGCAAAAATAAAGAAAAAAAGTGTGCAAGACAATAAGAAACACTACCTGCCAAAAAAAAGTGAAGTTTTGTTGAAATCGGTTGAAAAATGTAGGAAATCCGATCCCATATATAAAGGAACACACACACACACTCAAACAACCTGAGTTTTATAATAAGTATAACTCGATATGAGTTGTCCCCCTTTCATTCTCGCGATGCGTCTTAATCGTGTTTTCAAATTGATTTCGTGCAAAAACAATTGTGTTTTTCCAATTTTTGGCGCTGTCAGAACCACCGAAAGGTAATTTTACATAGTCCTGTGAAGTTTTATTGAAATTGTTGAAAAATGTAGGAAATCCGATCCAATATATAAACGTACACACACACACACACACACACACACACACACACACACACACACACACACACACACACACAATCTGCGTTTTATAATAAGTAAGATTACTACACAGTTATTCATTTAACTTATTTTCTTGGACAATTTAAAAAAGAAAAAGAAAAACAAAAGAATAACTGATAATGGGAAGCCACTTCACCATATTTCGCCGAAGTCATCATAATTCATACATAATAAAGAAACGTAATCTGTGGCGAGCAACCATCTCATTCATTTTGACATTCTTCTTCTTTTAGACGTAGTGATCATAGCCCTTCACGACTTCCTGTCCCTTGTAGCTCGTAATAAGTTTTGTCTTTTTGTTATTTCTCCCAAACTCTGTACTACCATCCATTTGCTCAAAATCATCAAGTATGTTACGCGCTGCTTTCCTCTGTCACTCTTACCCACATTCTACCCTGTGAGAATATATATATATATATATATATATATATATATGTGTGTGTGTGTGTGTGTGTGTGTGTGTGTGTGTGTGTGTGTGTGTGTAAATGGTTCATCTACCCCATAGTAAAGATTAATAAATCAGAGAAGTCTTCTTATCCGTCTTCACCTGGCATCTCGGCTTCAGTCACTTTCCCACCGCCGTAACATAACCTCCCATGTGCACTTTCTATAAATAATTTGATGTTAATTGTTCGGATGAACTTTCCTTTTTAGTACCTTGACTTTACGAATTTAAGCGCAGTACTAGATTGGCAGATAGGCCTCATCATTTTACAGTTTAAATTGTTAGCTGTAACCATAAGTTCTATGCTAACGGTTTCTTCTATGGCACTTCTTGCTCGTAGAACTCGCTTCCGGCTTTTTACTTTGCAGTCAACATTGATCTTCAAAAATTTAAATGCAACGTTAATCGTTATCTTTTGTCGCCTTAATTCTTATTCATTTATTGTTTTCTCTCCTTAATAATGCTTTTCTTTTTCTCAGATTCTTTCACACACGGTAATTCCTTGCGTCTTGTCTTAGCGGCTTTATCACCTTCCTTCGGGTGAAATCCTTAAAAAAAACGAGTGCTAGAGAGAAACATTGAGCAACTTAGCTAATGAGTCTGTGTGAATAAATGGCGGATCAAGAGGAAGAAGTCAAATGTTTCTTAGGGCTACAAGGAAAAAGAAGCTATATTGAGCCATTATCGTCTACTTCCTGAAGGAACATGGTATATAAACGAAAATCATGGTCATGAGCTATTTTAACAATCCCGTTAATAAATTAAATTAAAATAGAATATCATTTTTTTAATTTAATGTTCACCCTGTAAAAGCCCCAAGAGCCACTTGGAGTAGAAGGGTGTTGCAATGTAAGAGGAGCAGTTTATGGGGACATTTGGGTAAGATAACGGTTAATACTAAACTTGAACAGGTTAAGATAGTAGTGATCGAGAAGGTATCCCCCTAGGAGTCGGTTCCACAAAGCAGCTGTTCTTAGGAAGAAGCTGGTGGAGTGGAACTTACATCTCACCAATAAAATACGAAGGGAATGAGGGTGGTTCGTTACAATGTGCGTAAAATGGCAGGTCTTAGATGTGAAGGTTAGAATTGGTGGAACTAAGGAATGTAGTTCTTCTGGGCACTTTCCATAGAAATAGCGATAGAGCAGAGAGTGGCTTGCAACGTTTTGTTTGTGAGGAAAGGGGTTGTAGGGTGGAAAGTAATTATTCACCCACAAGACCGCGAAGACGCTTTTGGACTCGGCAGCTCCTATATATGGATGCAGTACTCCATTTTCGGCCCAATCTGACTCTTGTTAACGTAGAGGATAGCAAGAGGAGTCAGGTACTTACTGGAGCGGTACAACGAACTATCTATATTTCCAGAATCTTCACAAATGTCCAACTTCCACTTGAGATTTGTTTCTTTATTGTTTGAGTGATTCGTTTGCTTATCAATCTTTTGCGGTTTATTTAAAGCTAAAAAAGATTGTAGATTATAAGATAATAATGGTTTAGTGATACAAGTCGTACTAATTAACCCATAAATGGGAAGAGAAGAGGTAGATTCATACTTTTTCTCAGAGTATTTGCATATAACTGAACATAACGAATACAATGGAAATTAGAACTCGGCTCTCCGATTTACAATTGCGAGCCATTATCCCAAAACCATTATCCATTAAACCACCTGCACATCCAAGATTACAGCAACTGGTATTTCCAAGCGGTTACCCATCTTGGTAATGACCAGGCTCGTTGTTGCTTAACTTCGGCGATCGTACGGGAACTGGTGTTTCAACGTGATATAGTCGTAAGCTCTTAAGGCGTGAGTTGAAGTTGAGTCCCGGTAGAGATTAAGGCGAAAAATCAGGGTCTGCTTTTTAACAAGTATCTGTTTTAACATGTGCAGGTCTTCTCTTGGTTTATGCTAGCTATCATACTCTAAACGATGCAGTCAAATTATTTTTATGTAAATGTTGTAGCCTAGAAAAGGTTACTGAATCAGGAATAACAAAATGGAAATGAAATGCTAATCTTTATAACATCAACAAAATACAATACTCGCCAGCGGCGTGAAGTAGGTAAACCACTGCTAATGGTGGACTACTTAGACACCATATTACCTTCCACTTACAATAGTGTCCAATGTATTTATGAGGATTGTGCCATACCATTGGCATTCATAGCTACGGTATATAACAGTAAAGAAAGAACTGAGATAAAACAAAAATGATGGCCTTGACTGATGACTCTGGAATTAGCATTTATTTGAAGGAATGTAAAATCCATGCGATCTGTCATGTGTCCTTTGTTTAGATTAGCTGTATTCGTCAACTGTCATTTAATGTAAACAAGGTGCTTAACAGAAATCGTAACATTAATGAAACAGGCAGCCTAATCATATAGAATGCTTGCTTCAAAAACGACCACGAAGATGAGTGACCGCTGGAGAATAGCAACTGCTGTAAGCTTGCATTCTTCTGGTCAATGCTTTTTCATTTTTTTCTTCGCGATAGATGAAAACAGACTGTAATAGATAGATAGATAGATAGATGGATAGATAGATAGATAGATGCAGACATGATCGCTTACGTTCTGAGTGGCCATAGCACATAAATAAGAATATATATATATATATATATATATATATATATATATATTGGAGTCATGCTTGACCATAGCATATAATACTGATAGTCACTAGTAGTGACTACAGCCGAATGATAAAAGAAAAAAATAGTTGACACAACAAATCGAATCTACAACTTAATCTCATTCCTTGTCAATGCACTTAATTCAGTGGTGAATACCACTGACTTGATATTAACTTTTTATACAGTGAAAATGGCAGATCATGATTAAGTTACGAGTCAAGCTGCGGACTCATATATATATATATATATATATATATATATATATATATATATATATAAAAGTGAACATATAAGTCAATCGTCAGGCGACAGTCGATTGCATAGCTATGAAACAGACTGTCAGGCCTGACGTGTTGCTTCTATGTTCACTTTTATATTTACACACGCTCTATCTCTGATATTGAGCACTTTATCCCATAAATATAGCAATTTTAAGATTTAAGATTATATTATTATATATATATATATATATATATATATATAGGCTCATATTTGGTTTGGTCTGGTTTGTTTTGTCTTACGGCATATCAATCTCAATGGGTTATTTAATGCCGACAAGATTTTTATTGCTGGTAATTTTTTTTTTTAAATGTAGTGGTGGTAATTTTTTTTAAATGTATAGCTAGTATTTTTTTTTAATCTATTGCTAGTAATAATTTTTCTTCAAAATTTATAGCTGGTAATATTTTTTTACAAAGTATTTCTGATATTAAAACCTATGTTTTCATAGTGTTTTGACCCAGTTTGTGAGGGTTAACTATTTGCCCATAGCTGGGACCCTAACAGGTGCTACCTCCCCGGGTCGGGGTGTTCTTGGGAACACCAGCAATTAAGGGGTGGCTCCAAGCTTCTCAAAACCTCTTGATCAGAGGCCTTGCTGTTGGGCATAGTTTATTTTCTTACCCAGGATGCGTCATGCCCCCGACGGATCATATTTGGATGGGGACACACACACACACGCGCGTGCAAATAAAACGGCACATCAGGTTGACTCATGATGTTGCGATGCTCGAAAAAAATAAATACAATAAAATCGCATATTTATAAATCCCTTCTCAAATACATTTCTTCATAATGGGTGATGTAAACAGAAATCACCCAAACATATTGGACAGTGCAGAGTGAAGCCAGATTAGAAAGATTCTCGGAATCGATGCAAAATTTAAAAAAATAATAGTAAACATATCATTGTTATATAGCTAAAACTTAATGCATAAAACTTAACACACACACACACACACACACACACACACACACACACACACACACACACACATATATATATATATATATATATATATATATATATATATATATATATATATATATTTGTTTCATTAAAAACGACAGACAAGGTACTACGGTTGATCTTTTTATTTAATTTTTCTTGTGTTCTGACAAGAGCTTTCTTTTCTTTAAGACGGCCAACCTTATCCTCAAAAATAACAACACACCAACTAAGTCAAAATTACAAAGAACAAACATTATCTATGAGTTCAAATGCCCTTTAAGAAACTGCGTTCCTCACCAAATCGGACTCATAAATAATTACATCGGCTACACAACCACATGTTTATCCAGACGTCTTACATTACACCTATCTGATCACAGTTCCATCAGAACACATTTAAAACACACTCAGATTTACCCGACACTATTAGGAACATACTAGTAGAAAACACAAATATATTAACTGCATCCACTTGCAAAAAAAGACTAAAAATAATGGAAGCTCTAATAATAAAAAAGAAAAAGCCAACTCTTAACAATATTAACTATGAACAAAGCCACAATGTGCTAACCGTATTCGGAAACTAAAAACATCACTACCACACACTGAACATACACAGAACACACACACACTACTAAGCTGATATTGAATCATCCTTGATAATGGCTAAAGATATAGCCGAAAGCGCTCGGAAATACAGAACATTCGGACAGTTCTTACACACTCTTTGTCCAGAAAAGAAAGCTCTTGTCAGAACACAAGAAAAATTAAATAAAAAGCTCAACCGTAGTACCTTGTCTGACGTTTTTAATGAAACATGCATAAAGGAAGGATTGCTGCCTAAATATACAAATATATATATATATATATATATATATTGTGGTAGATCTCCGACTGACGTCAATTCAGACGGGTTTCGGTCCTAGCTAGAGGCAACCGGACGTCTAGCCACACTGAAGAGCTGTGATACAGTGAAACAGTCTCTGTGGATGACAATATGTATGTATGTATATATGTACGTATGTATGATTATATTTTTTATTATAAGAGGTTATAATAAAAACATTTTGAAATCGCTACACAAAAGTTTTCATGTTTCAATACTATGATTGTACTTCCTCAGGAGATGGTAGGTAACTGGTTATAAAATAATTTCTCAATGAAAGTTATAAAATTTTAAAATTTTAAAAATTTCTAAGAAACTTGTCCGTAATAACGAGAGAATCTTATGAAAAATAAATCGACAAAACTTGTCAAAATAATTTAATGAGATATGTCTTTATGAAAATATGTTGCAAAAATATACACAATATATATATATATATATATATATATATATATATATATATGTGTGTGTGTGTGTGTGTGTGTGTGTGTGTGTGTGTGTGTGTGCGCACGCCTGTGGTGGCGTGTGTGGATGCGTGTAAGTGTTATTGAAGGTGGTTATACGTTGTTATACGTTAGGTTGTTCTTAATATATATATATGTATGCGTGTATGTATCCAGGGGTGGGGAGATTTTGAAAGCGGCTTCGAACAGCAGGTGCTTTTAATAAATTAACTCAAGTGAAATTTACCTTCTATTCATAACTCGCAGATAATGAATTCCATTCACGACCATTTTAACGTGGGAAGTTTGAAAAATATTTGTGAGTCCTCGTTAGTAACCACAAAATCAGGAAATGCCTTCTCTGTCCTCTTGAATTGCAGTGGGAATGTTCAGTTTAACGGAACGTGTCGTCGGTCACCATCTTTCTTAGCATTTTCGGCCTTTTTGTACTTAAATGCTTTCAAAAACGAAAAAAAAAAGCACTTGTGCTAAAATAACATCCCTAATACTGAGGTGTCAACCTATAGTAGTGAGATGATTAGAGAAATATAATTATAATCTGTACGACATTTCCATATTAACCTTGTTTTAGAATTCCCCAGAATACCAACAATAGGCATTAACACAAATACAAATAAAGTTTGTTTCTGACCATTTAGGTAGGGTTATTTAAGAAGTAATGGATAGCGGCTTGGATTGAGTAATCGGAGAGTCAAGCTTCAATTCCTGTCGAATCCATTACATTCACTTACGTTCTAAAACCCTCGGGAAAGGTATGAATCCTCTTCTTCTTCCCCCATGTATGGGTAAATAGCAGGAAAGACCGAGTTCTATAGCATTGGATGACAACTAGTCTACCGCAGAAAGAAATGGCAACCTACTGCGGGAAAAATCTGCCTCATCAGTCATGTATCAAAAGATACATGATCGCCTAAGCTTGTCTCACGCATGGCACATAACTGACATGTATTGTACATATTACTTGTAGTAGATATTCAATTTAATTTTAAGTAATTGGTTGGTATTTTTTAATAGTTTCCTGAACAATTTGCACATTAACAGATAGCATTGCTTACAGTCCCCTATATTAAGAGCAACATATTACCTACCATATGATGGTTCGAATTTGCTAATAATACCTTCTTAATTCAATTCCTCTAACAGTTGCTTTTCAAGAGATAAGCAACATTCATGATTCCAAATTATCCTCAAATATCTAACTTCTTAACTTTGTCTTTATGATTTATATATATATATATATATATATATATATATATATATATATCATAAAGACAAAGTTAAGAAGTTCGATATTTGAGGATAATTTGGAATCATGAATGTTGCTTTTTCTGTAGTTCACTGTTAACAGCAAGCAGAAATATTTCTCCTCCCGATGATGGCCATTTCGGTCGAAACTAGTCGAGGAATCTAAATGGAATAATAATAATAAAAAAAAAAACGAAAGAATATTAATCTACAACCCAGTGTGTCTAATGATTTTAATTTTTTATTTTCTTATTGTTATATATATATATATATATATATATATATATATATATATATATATACTGTTTTGTTCCACGCAATTTTTAAAATACAAATGAAGATTTTAGGAGCTAATTATTTACGAAGTAATAGATGAAACGTCTTTTCATAAGAGAAACAGGAACAGCAGTTGAGTTCGCCGTCCTGTTAACTGCTACACCACCCTCTCTTTTAATAAATTAAAGATTTCTTTTAAAGGATCCTTTTTAGCTTCTTGGCTTTGTTCCACTAAAGGTTTGAAATACGAATGTCATTTCATGGCTCTATTATTCCAGGACATTTCTCGCAGTTCCAGATTTACTGAAAATGTCAACTTTGTGTTCCAGTTTTAGTTAATCTATTGTTTACATTCCAAAAAGTCAATGGCTGTCAAATAAACAAAAAGTAAATCAACTTAGTAAAATTCAAACAAAAATATTTGAATTTATTCTCCTTGAAATTTTATTTTTACTGTCCTCAAATCTTGCCATTCCAGATGTCTAAAATAAATTGACTATCTTGAGATGATCTGACAAACAACGAAAAAATATTTTTGAAGAAAAAAAAAAACACACACAAACACAGTAAGTTCCCACTATAACATTCATGAACATTTCGTCGTATATAAAATTTATGTCAAACAAAAGAAACTCTTGTTTTAAACCTTCCTTTTGTTAAATTGTCTAATAAATGTTATCTTACATTACAAATTAATTAGTCCCTTTCTTCGCATGTACTCTTTTTCGCCACCTTTATTATATGTCCAACAGAATTCTCTCGTAAGAAACCTTAACATTTAATTATTGAAGTAGCTAATCAACAAATCGGTGATGTATGACAAATCATATGTTGAATTGCATAAATTTTGTTGATTGCGTTATGAAATGTTGAAGATGGCGTTGAAATGTTTGTTAATGAAGAACGTAATTTTTAGCCTTTTCTTTAAGATCGGCCTAGCTTTTGTTGATGCTTCTTCGTCGCTTAGGTTGGCACAAGGTTGCAATTATAAGGCACATTGGATGATCGATCTAAATTACTGATGATATGGAAGTTTCGTTTGCTGACAATTGCACCACGACGAGGCACCCAACAAGGATTGTATTGTTAGAATTTTTGTCGGAATATATTTGCATGAAAGTATCGCTTAACAGAAGACACCAGATGGAAAATGAAAGCATAAAAGAGACTTGTTCTTAAAAAGAGACAGTTGACATTTCTGTGACACATAATGAAAAAAGAAGGCTTGGAGAAATTAAGACACTATATATAGTAAGTTAGGTAGAGACACAGGTATCGATACATAGATTTTCATATATCCTTAAGCAAGTCAACATAGTCGCGGTAGAACAGTGAGTAGCATGAGAGACTAACTCATATCCAACTGGCGTCAGTTTAAACTCACGTCTTCCATTTTTTTATTTACCTGTCAAACGTTTCTAGATTCCAGATGAAAACTTGGAAAATTTTAAGCATATTTCACTGTAAAATTTCACTTTCCAAAATTATAGCTTTTTTTTAAAATTACAGTTTAAATATTTGTAAAAAAAAATACCATTGATTTAAACGGTGGTGTCATGGATACTGCCTTGGATTGAGGAATAGGAGAGCCGAGTTCGAATTCCAGTCGAACCCATTACATTCATTTACATGCTATTACCCTTGAAAAAGGTATGAATCCTCTTCTTCTCCCCCATCTATGGGCAAAAAGCAGGATCTATAGCCTTTGATGACAACTGGTCAACCACACAAAGAAATGGCAACCTACTGCGGGAAAAAAAATCTGACCTGTCAGTCATGTATCGAAAGATACATGATCGCCTAAACGTGTACCGCGTATGGCACATAACTGACTGACTGGAGGATATGACGTAAAATCAATAAATATTTTCTCGTGTACATATCCATTTCAGTAGGTACCGTTATAAGACGCAGTAACGCAATTATCCATATATAATACGCATAAATTTCAGATTGTTAATCACAATAGCTAGAATGTGTATTATACACGAGAACTAGATATTAACTTTTTTCCGGCTAAATGTATTTTCATATTCGGAACGGTATGATGGAAAGTAAGTTATACGTCTAGTCCAATTTAACTAATGTGTGAGAAAGAGCCGTTGTTCACAGAGCCATCGTCCACAGAGCCATTTTATCCGTCTTCCTCAAAAAGCAAGTATTAGTAACGTTCAATTGTGTTCTCTGTCTCTAGAGAACTAGCCACCGGAATGCGTGTTTGTTTATAGTTTTCTTTTCCCTAGCGTGAATATATTTCTATCGCAAACTTGTTACTTTTTTTTCTATGAACCTGTCGGGGAGTTCGTTCTAAATACGGCGCAAATTTTGTGATTCTAAACAAAATATAAACTATATAAATTCTTATTTTTAAGGACCGGATAAAAAAGTTGAAGAAATGTTAGAGTCAGGTGCAATTTAGGTATTGCAAATTCTATTATGCACAAAATCTGTTTTATTTTTTGCGACAATTTAGGGGTGCCTTTTATATCTGAGTGCGTATTATAATTGGGTAATTTACATTACAGTAACCTTTACTCCTTATTTCTTACTATTTCGACTTTTCTGTAAATACTTTCATGGTAATTGTTCTGATGAACTTCCCTCCATAGTACCTAAAATTTATGAATGTAAGCGCAGTACTAGATTGGCGGCAAGGTCCCATCATTCTTCCTTTCCCGTCAACTTTTATCTTCAAAATTTTAAATGCAATGTCAATCCTTATCTTCTGTCTTCTTAATTCTTGTTCTTTTATTGTCTTCTCTTCTTAATAGTATATTTTTCTCATATTCTCTAACACTCAGTAAATCCTTGCATCTTAGTGGCTCTATTACCTTGCTTGGGGGTGAAATGAATAAAATAAATTGCGATGATGAATTATCATTGTTATATGTTGTTTTATTCGAACTGGTTCCTTTGTAATAGATAAAAAGTTTCAGACGATGTGTTCTCCGGCATTCTTTAAGTGCCTGTGGTATCCCGTAACGTTCTGCGAATTCCGAATCGAGTATTTTCTTCAATCTACGGAGGTGGAGTGATCTCAATCCGCTGTCTATGTTATGGGGAAATAACTGAATTCTACGGTGTTAATTTATTCCTTCCACTGAAGCTTAATAGGCATTTTCCTTCACGCCCACTCCAACGGAATATGGTCCAATGTTTAGGTTAAATTAGGAATCCTCCATATATAAGAGGTTCATAAAATTTGTGTACAATTTAAAATACTTGTAGTTTTGTAACTATAAATGATAGAAACAATATGTAAAAAGGATTTGTAAAAAGTCGCAAATAACAATTACAATTTTCTTGTAGACATTTCACACATATTTCTGTCTATAATATATTCCACATAGTATACAGATACTACACTCTTGCATTTCTGTAGACAGAAATACCTGAGAGTGACATTTTGAATTGCCGATCCAAGCGCAAATATCTTTGTTTTTTTTTTTTTTTTTTACATTTTTGTCATTGTTATTATATTGTCACACATGAAATTACGTATTTCTTGGTTGGTTGTTGATCCGATCGACTAACGAAATAACCTTCTTAGTATATCAAAAAATATCTTGACTTACTCCTGACCCTTTTTCTTTCCAGATAATTTTTCTTTCAATATACTGTTGCTCATAACTCCAAGGAAAATGATTACAATGAAACAATATGGATTAATCTTATTGTATAAGTACAAACAGGGAATGGGAATGGGCTTGGATTGAGGAATCGGAGAGCCGAGTTCGAATTCCAGTCGAATCCATTACATTCACTTACCCTCGGGAAAGCTGTGAATCCACTTCTTCTCCCTCCAGCTATGGGTAAATAGCAGGACAGACTGGGTTCTATAGATGGCAACTGGTCTAGGAGAAGGAAAACTCTGAATTCACAACCTGCGGAGGGTCGTTTCGGGACCTTGTGGCACGTAGTGCGCCAGGTCTCTGTAATCGGCCCTTCAAAAAGTGTAGATGGTCCTGCACGAAACCTTCACCACTATAATCAAATCTCATGTGCTATACATGCAGGTTGGGGACCGCTTGTGAATTCCAAATATTGGAGCCGGTTCAACCCACATCGAGTGAATGCCGTTACAAGAAGAAGAACTGTATTATTCATTATTGCCTCAAGGGAAAACAATAACAGCAATCTCGTATTGTGGAGAAATTGAGTGTAAGCACGAAAAATTGAAAAAGAGACATCCTAGATGACACGGCCGCTCGCTTCTCAATCAACTGTCATAGACTGAATTATGAAATTTTGCCACATCCTCCATGTTCACCTGATATCTCTCCTATTGATTATCATTTATTTAAGCATTTTGAGCTTTTCATACGCAATAAAACATTCTCCAATAAGGAAGAGGTAATTGAAACATTTGAACTGTTTATTGCATCAAAGGACGAGCATTTCTTTAAAGATGGGATCAAGAATTTAGAGATACTTTGGAGAACAGTCATTCATCAACATGGCGCTTATTTCAACTAAATAAATTAGTTATTTACCATTTCAGAAGCATAATATTAATTTCCTACAAAGTGCATTATGTCATGTGTGACAACCTAATATCATTTTTACATTTTTTTATTTTCTCTCTTAGGAAAAGTAAGAATAAAAAAAAAAGAAAAAAAAAGAAATGGAAAAGTATCAATGAAAGAGAATGGAATACTGAAAAAAATAAGAAAGAAATATTGTTTGTTTAACGGCACATGAACTCTTTATGGTTTATTTAATGCCAAAATGTAATTTTCTTGGAATCTTTGAAGTAATAAAAAATATATGTTATTCTGCTTTCACAATTGAATATATGGTAGATGATACTCGGCTTTTGTGCATATACATGTTTGTGTGGACATAAGTATTACAGGCGGTGTTATGTGTGTTTTATGTAGTAGTTTTGTTGAAATTATATTTAGGAATACAGTTTAATTTCTTTAAGAAATTCTAGGATATAAAATGGATTAATGTCATGAACATCCATTCATGTTGGTTGTTTGTTTAAGTTTGTTTAGTGAAATATCAACTTCTCTGAGTTATTTAATAGCGGAATCTAAATATTTTGCACACAGTCTTATGGCTTCAACTAAATATATTTTCCGAGCGCAATTGCATGCCTTCAGCTAAAGATAAAATGTATTGCTGGTCATTTTGCTATAAAATGTATTGCTGGTCATTTTGCTATAAAATTTGTTGTTGATCATTTTGCTATAAAAATGTATTGTTATACTTTCATAGTGTCTTGTTTTTGTTTGGGGTTCACTAATTCTCACAGCTGGAACCCTAACAGATGCTACCAGGTAGGGTCAGGGTGGACCTGAAAACATCAGCAATTAAGAGGTGGTTCCATGCTCCTCCACACTTCCAATCTGCCGATCAGAAGCCTTGTTGACTGATGTAGTTTATCCTCATACAAAGAAAGAAAGAAAGAAAGAAAGAAAGAAAGAAAGAAAGAAAAACGATAATAAACATAAAAAAGATCATTGAAAAAAAAATGGAATGTTGGAAAATAAAAAAAAGAAAGAAAAAGATAGAGGAATGACAAAAGATTACTGAAAGAGAATAAACAAGCTCGAAGAAAAAGAAAAAGATAGAAAGAAAGTAGAAAGAAAGAAAATAAATAAAGAAAAAGAAATGAAAAAATCTTTGAAAGAGAATAGACTGTTGGAAAAATAAGAAAGAAAGAAAGAAAGAAAGAAAGAAAGAAGAATAGAGAAAAGAAAAAGGATTACTGAAAGAGAATAAAAATTTTGGAAGAAAGAAAGAAAGAAAGAAAGAATAAAATAAAAAAGAAAGAAAATAGAGAAATTAAACAGGATCATTGTGAAAATGAAACGTTGGAAAAATAAGAAAGAAATAAAGAAAGAAAGAAAGAAAGAAAGAAAGAAAGAAAGAAAGAAAGAAAGAAAAGAGAAAAGAAAAAGGATTACTGAAAGAGAATAAAAATTTTGGAAGAAAGAAAAGAACGGAAGAAAGAAAGAAAGAAAGAAAGAAAGAATAAAATAAAAAAGAAAGAAAATAGAGAAATAAAACAGGATCATTGTGAGAATGAAATGTTGGAAAAATAAGAAAGAAAGAAAGAAAGAAAGTATAAAATCTCAACAGAAACTAAGAAAAAAAGTACGTTGCAAAGAAATTTATTATTTATTCGGTGAAGCTTCGTTTTGTACAAACTCAGAAAGGAGGAGCTTCCAGTGAGGTTTGAACCAGACTAGATCGTTAACCATTACCTCACACTGAAAAATGTCCCATGACGTGAAAGATGCGGTTAGACTTTTGTATTAAAAACTCAAAAATAAAAATAAGAAATAAAGCGCGTATCTTAAGAAACTTTACAGTACCCCGGGTGGTGAAAATAAGAAATCGGGTAGGCGTACACAGCTGTGAAACGGCATGCGACCTGATAGGTAATGGTGTCCCAGTTGACAAAAAAACAAAGCGCACGCCCATTGTTTGGATATAAAACAAAAAAACAAGCAGTCACATGTACTCTGGGATAAGAACAGATTTATTTACCCGGCTCAGTTTTGTTTACCCGCCGGTTATTTGTGAATACGACCTCGAGGGGAGATGGATATTTTTGGAGAGGAATTAGAATGAGACATGCTCAGCATCGCCCCTATTTACATTATTAATTATACTGTGCACGTAATAAAGTAGAGTTATGTGGGCGCTTTTTCGTGGTGGAATGCTATGAAAACTAGACTTGCAAATCATTAGTATTGAGTTCGATCCTTGATGCGTGCTCCCAGTGCCGACTGTAGGTCATCAATGTTTGTCGGGCTCATTAAATCTTTAACAAAATATAATATTGGTATAACTTAGATGCTAAAATGATTCGTTTACTCTACTTAAAATATATAATTTAAAAAAATCTCTAACCGGATATGTTATTTTTTTGGAAAAAAATAACATGGATATCTACCTCGAGTGTATGTTTGTATATATGAATATGCGTTAGTGTGTTTATGTCGCTCTCTGTGAATTTTACGTTTATGATCAGTATTGCTAACTGATATTATATTTCCTCAACACTACCCAATCACATCCCTTACCCCAAGCCTCCAGTTGACGAGTTAAGGCTTTGTTTAATTTTCAATGACATTAGGTCGTGCTGAATTTAATTTGCCCTTTTTCAGTTGATACATTGTGCTAAAATGTATCAACCGAAAAAAGTCAAATTAAATTTAGTCGAAACCTTATTCTGTACAGAATAAATTAAATGGATATTTGAAAATAATAAATTGAAAAACAGGGCATACAAGTCATTCAGTCATTTATGTGCCATGTGTGATCCGCTCTTAAGCGATTATTTATCCTTCGATACATGACTGACAAGAAAGATTTTTTCCCGCAGTTGGTTGCCATTTCTTTCTTCGGTAGACCAGTTGCCTACCCGGTCTGTCCTGCCATTTACCAATAGCTGGGGTATTAGCACGTAAGTGAATGTAATAGATTCGACTGGAATTCGAACTCGGCTCTCCGATTCCTCAATCTGAGCTGCTGTCCATTTTTGAAAGATTATTTATAAAATTAAAGCAAGAAATACATTGCCTATTAAATGTCTCCAGCTCAAATAGGACTCAAAAATGGCTCAGATCTACGTATCCCGACTAGACACATTAATTTCATTTAATTATTTTTTAATTATTTTCTTTTGGTCAATATTTTCAGGCACAGAGTTACAACAATTAATTTGGGATCCAGCTGAAGTCAAAAATGAAAACGACACACTACGAAAGAATTTTGTTGCTTTGAAATAGATATACTTGAATATTGACTCACTCGGGCTAAGCCCGACAAGCCCGATACCGGCGTCGCCACTGCTTGCTCCATACTAGTGGACCTGGGCACAAAGTAACCTGCACTTTGTGAATAACTCAAAAGAGTTAAAGGCAATTGAGTGGGTAGAAAAAAAAATAGTTGCAATATTATTTAAAGTTCTACGATAATCCCTTGTCATTTATTTGACGCAAATTTTGGCAATGTTTAAGAAAAGAAAAAAACAATGTGTCAAGAAGGGCGGTTATTCTTTTGACACCGCTATTACTGTATACACTTTTGACTCCCACGGTCATGTTTATTTACAAGATTATAAAAATATAGGAACTAAATACAATGCAATTATTATTCACCTTTTATAAAGATTTATTATTTGCCATTTTATAAAGAAACAAATTTGAAAAGAAATCTTTTTATTCAAAAATTTATAAAAAATTAAAAATTATCAAAATATGTAAACTAATTACAAGGCAGTATTTATTATTTACCATTTTATAAATAAAAAAAAAGTTTCTTTTATTGAATCTGGTAGTGTTTAATATCTTTGTTGTCAATGCTCAAGAATAAAGTATGAATCCACTTTCATATTTTTAATCATTTCATCCCAAGCATAGTAATAAAGCCACTAAGACACAAGACACTCCTTTCCAATAAGCAGACGAAGAACGTCACAGTGGAAGCATTGCTTTCATCTAGATTTGAACGCTGACCATTGTTAACTTCTTAATTATCTATTCCAATGTTATCTTACTTTTACACAAGGCCACGTTCGCTGAGCAACGTATTGAAAAATGAACTCACTGCAGTGGCAAGTCTGTCAGCAGGACGATCTTGATTTTGTAATCCATCAGCCAAACATGGCCGCTCCTATCTATGTCCGCTTACGTTCATAAGTATTTCCTTAGCAAATCCTGGTTTGGCATAACGCCATAATTTTGGAGCTCAAAGTAAAAATCAAAATAGATAAATTAACACCGGTCAACGAGGCAAACTTGTTGCATGACAAGGATCTCTTTATCAAAGCCTGGCACAAGGTCAAAGTTGTAGTGCAGCCGGTAAGGGTTGAATAAGGTTTTATCGAATTAACCACCACTTCACGGCAATGCGTAAATTGGTCATTAAACAATACGAGAAAGCCGGATCTTTTGGTATTCACAAATAATTCATTATTTTTAGTATTTAAAATTATGTTCGTTTTTTTGTTTTTTTTTTTCTATTTTCTATCCAAAGCACAGTTCTTGCAACAGCTCCGGAACTAAATCCTAAAAATAGTATCTACTATATTAAATCAGTTCAAATTATTTTTGTTAGTTTTTGTTTAGCGCTATATCGATACCTCTATGGTTTATTTAATGCTGAAACCTAAAAATTTTGTACGCAATTTTTTTTTTTTGAGATAATTTAGTGATACAAGTCTTACTAATTAATCCTTATCTGGGGGGAGAAGAGGTGGATTCATACCTTTTCCAAAGTAAGTAAATATAACGAACCCGACAGGAATTGGAACTCCGCTGTACGATTAACAATTCCGAGTCATTATCCATTACACTATCCGCACATCCAAGTGGTCACCCATCTAGCTACTGACCAGGTTCGTCGTTGCTTAATTTCCCTGATCGAACGGGAACCAGTGTTTTAACGTGGTGCGGCGGTAAGCCTCAAATTATTGGATTCGTTATAATCTTAGTTCAGTGATGTAACCAAAAAGGCTTAGATGGCTAAAAAATATTTTATAGTTCTATTAATATTTTTATTAACAGAACTAGTTCTATTAAATATTGAAGCACCTTTTGAGAAATTACACCATATTTGGTACTGAAAGAGATAGATAGATAGATAGATAGATAGATAGATAGATAGATAGATAGATTTGTTTGTTTAACAGCATATCAACTCCTTATGCATCATTTAATGCCGAAATATAATTTCTTGGGAGCTTTGAAGTAATAAAAATATGATATTTTTTATTCTGCTTTCGCAATTGAATACAGGGTAGATGATACTCAGCTTTCGTGCATATGCATGTTTGCGTGGACATGATTACTAGATTGGCTGATATGTGTGTGTTTGTGCATGTTGTAGTTTTGTTGAAGTTATATTTTTGCTATACCGTTTGATTTAAGAAATTGTAGGATATTATATGGATTAATGTCATGAAAACGTTCTTTCATGTTGGCTGTTTGGTTGATTGATTTTGTTTGGTGGTATATCGACCTCTATTGTTTACTTAATACCGAAATCGAAATATTTTGTACATAATTTTATGCTTTCAACTGCAGATATTTTTTACTTAATTTTATACTGTTAGAGAAAAGGTTTGTTTTTTATATATATATATATATTTTGTAGATCATTTTACTACAAAAATATATTTTTTTTATATTTTTGCGTTGCATTGGTTGTTATTTTGCTATAAAAATATACTGTTGATTAATGTCTTGGGGTTTCACTATTTGCCCATAGCTGGGACCATAATAGGTGATATCACCCCCGGATCAGGGTGAATAGCAATTAAGAGGTAATTCCACGCTCCACAAAACCTCCAATCTTCCGATTAGAGATTTTCCTACCGGGTGTAGTTTACCGTCATATTCAAAATGACAGACAGACAGACAGACAGACAGAGAAAGTGTTATGTACTGGTTTCACAGTGGAGGCTTGTATTTGTACTAAGTCGGTCCTAAAATAGGTTCGACGTACAAAACGTTAGGAACTTGATATAATAGGTAGTGACGCAGTAATCTAGTTGAGGTGGCTGATACTTTAATATCCGACTAACGGTCCTCCGACATCGACTGACTGACCGGCCCACTGAGCGACTGACTTGTTACTCTTGCTACTCCTACTTATTATCTATAGAATAAGTGTGTTTCACTATAACAGAAAGAGAGAGGTGGGATATTGAGAGAGAGAGAGAGAGATTGTGGGGATTTAATTATAATATATTAATATAATTCAAATTTATGCAGCATCATCTATTGAAGAATGTTAGGAAAACTTAGCAATATCTTTGACATTTCCTCAGCTATTCTGTCAAAGTTCTAGAAATCCTTCTTAACGAACTTCTTTTGAATTTCACCAATAAAAGAAAAATGGTGTTTCCATCAGTATATTGCATTTCAGATCTCCAAACCTGTCCTTTATCTAATAATGATATTTTTGAAGATCAAAGTTGGATGGAAAGCAAGACTCGAGAGAAAAGAGACTGTTATCAAAGAACTTACAGTTACATCTAACCAATTCAGCTGTAAAATGGTGAGACCTATCTGCCAATCTAGTACTGTGCTTAAATTAATAATGTCTATGTACAATAGTTCGTCCAAACAATTCTCATAAAAAAAATATTTACTGAAAAGTCACTGGGCAGTTACATTACGATGGGAAAGTGGCTGAAGACTTGATGCCTGGTCAAGACCAATAACGTAACAGGTTCTTCTTTAGATTTTATCAAGAATCTCTAAATATACAGCAGAAGCACCAGACCATATGTGACAGCAATATTCTAAGCATGGATGAATGATAGACTTATAAAAATGTAAGATAGATTCTGGAGATAAAAAAATTGTCTTGCTCGACACAGTGAAACAACAGCAGACCTCGTTGTTGATTCAATATAACCTTTCTAGTTCAATCAATAAATGTTGAATAATCTTTAAGGGCAATTCAAAGTGTGCGCGAACCTCTTATTCCGCATCGACGTCATATTAACAGAATACTTTTACTTTTTCTTCTTTTCCATAAACATTGTAATAGTTATAAGCTTAGTACAGTATCAGAAAAAATATCGATAGATGGACAGACTGAGACAAATAGGTTAGGCTAGGTTGGAGGATTTAAAAATATTTCAAATCCTATTCATTTTATGCCGACATCTATTTTTTTGTATTCATACAGGGTCCCATATATACCTCCCACCAGAAATACCTCACAAATAATGGTAAGACATTAGCGAGATGAAAACAATAATGCCATTAATATCACACCATTATGAGGGATGTTTACATATGAGTGCGTCGCCATCAAATCACACTGAGGAAAGTTAATCGAAAATATTAATATTCAAGTCAACATGAAAATTTTAGGAATACGTTTTCACAACATCGCCCACGTGACGCCGACATGATCGTATTGCGAAACGGAACGCTGATCTTAAAAATTCAGTTATTCTGTTTTGATTAGTCTTATGTCTATCGTCTTTTCATGTTGACTTGAATATCGTCTAATTTTAATTATGTTTTAATAACTATGTCCTGAAGAAGGTCTACTAGAAACATCTGACGTCGACATTGAAACAGCATTAAAACAGCATACTTGCATATTCGGATTTTTGTTTTTCCATATTTTTCTTCACACACACACACACACACACACACACACACACACACACATATATATATATGTATAAATTTCCGTAACAGCTAACCGGGTGGAAATGAGCATAACAGAAGAGATCAAAGCCAACTAAAATTGAATCCAAAAGTCTGGACGAATTCAAAGACAGCTTCTAAATTATAACGAAGGTATCTATGACTACTTGAGTGGGATACCGCATAATATCAGTTATTAGATACCCAAGTTTTAATTATTAAACTAATTAAATTAAAATGCATAATTTCAGTTATTAGAAACCCAAGTGTTAATTGTTAAATAAATGAAATTAAAGCGTATACCAATTATTAGATACCCAAGTTTTAATTATTAAACTAATTAAATTAAAATGCATAATTTCAGTTATTAGAAAGCCAAGTTTTAATTATGAAATTAAAATGGATAATATCAGTTTTTATTTACATTTATCCGATTTTAAAAATGTTTTAGGTACGTTGATCAATAAAATTAGAACCTATTAAAAATAATTTCAAATTTTTATTTTTTTACGGTGAGTTTTCCTCCCAGTAACCTTTCCTCCCGGTGAACTTTCCTCGCGGTTAACTTTCGTCACGTTGAACTTTCATTGCGCTGAACTTTCCTCGCGGTAAACTTTCATCGCGTTGAACTTTCCTCCCGGTGAACTTTCCTCCCAGTTAACTTTCCCCAAGTTGAACTTTCCTCTCAGTGAACTTTCCTCCAGGTGAACTTTCCTTGCGGTGAACTTTTCACGCGGTTAACTTTCATCACGTTGAACTTTCCTCGCGTTGAACTTTCCTTGCAGTGAACTTTCCTTGCGATGAACTTTTCTCGCGTTGAACCTTCCGCCAGTGAATATTAGTCACGGTGATTTGATGGCGGTGAACTTACCTGACACGATTCGTGGGGTATTTCTGGGTGATATATATGGGAGTTATTTCTACCGCACCCTGTATTATCATATAATTTTGCTTCTTTCTTCGTTCCGTACTTAGCGCGTATTTTACTCCTTGCCAATACCTCATAAATAATGGACTATTCCGTTTGTGTCGCGATTAAAGAAAGAAAAGACATATCAGAGAACGCATTTCAATGAAAAGAAAGAAAGAAGGAAATAAATAAAAAGAAGGTAGAAGGGGCGATAACGCTCTCATGTGTTTAACGTCTGCTTCAGTGAAATCGAATAACTCGTGTATTTAAAATCTTTTCATTTTTACACCGCTACTTTAAATAATTACCTACAGTCATACTTATGTTTGTTATTGCAATATTTTGTTAAAGTTGTTCAGGTCAAATATTTAACGAATTAAAAATGGAATTTCCACGGTTATTTTTATAGTCTCATGACTCGCAAAGAGTATATTTAGTCATTAAATTAAAAGTCATCAGAAAATGAAAATAGGAAAACTCTTCAATTTTCACAGATATTTCTTGTCAAATTAAAATTGATCTAGAATTACTGTACTCTTCGCTTTTATTCTGGTATCAGTAACCTTTTCGGAGTTTTAAATTAAACACTTTATTTCATTCATAGTGTAGATTGCTCACATCAGTGTGCGATCATGTTTTTCCACAACCACCTCTTAGTAAAAATTGTCATTTGCCATCTCTCCCATTCACTGTTCAACTATCCATTTACACAAGTTGGTTAGGAAGGTTATACGCTGATTTCCCCTGTACGTCTTTCCTTTGATAAGTCCTATGTGTGCCAAATTCTCCAAGCCTTCCTTCCTAGAAATTTCAACTGTCTCTTTCTTGTATAGAATAAATGCGAATGTCCGTGTGTCACACTTTTTCAACTTTATTGCTAGAGGCCGGAGTCCAACATATCATAACATTTTGGAATCAGGCCGACTACGTGGACAAATTAAAAACATTTCGGGCCGGATCCAAACCGGCAATCCTGAAATTTTGGATTTCCAAATTTTCATTACTGCGATTCTTTTCGGCGATTTTCTACGTGTTTTTTTCTTTTCTTTTTTTTTTTTGCAACGAATTTTTGTACGATAACAATTTTTATAACTTGGAATCAAATTTAAAAATAATCGAAATCAATTGCGAAATCCAACGAAAGTCACCCATGAAATAAAAATAATTATTTGTATGGACAGTAAGGACCTACATTCATCAAACTGTCTTTAAATTAAGTGGCGGAAGAAGAATTATCGTTGAACTTTTGAAAGGTAAGCTTAAGTATTAATACAATACATAGCGATCAATTTTGAGTTCTTCTGTAGTTTATTATTGCCTATTGCATCTACCACTCTCTACCTATTGTGATGAAGGTCCAATCTGCAGGAGCTAGCTTAAATGACACCCAATAGAGCGGCTTTTAAGATAGTATTCTAAGTGTCTTTTAATTTTTCTATAAAAAATTTCACTATTTAAATTTGCAGTCCATTGTATTCTCAGCATCATTCTGTAGAACTACATTGCCTCAGGTGACTTTTTTACCTGTGAGATTTCTAACATTCACTGCCTAGAGGGGAACTTTGTTTTGTTTCTAACAAATTGTTTCTTGCTTTGCTTGATTTTTTGGCA